TCTGTGGGAGGATTTGAGCTCTTCTCCCAAAATGATGGTGTTCAAACTGTGGCGCCTAGCCCTTGAGACATGCGGGTTGGTTGTTCAGAGGCTTCTGTGCTTTCCTCCCCTGTTCTCAGGTACATCAAGTAAAGATGAGCCGCTGAAGCGCCCAGTTTTTTTCATAACATACCAAATACCAAATTTGATCTTAACTTCGTGACTCAGTTGTTGTTACACATGACGACATTTACAATTCTCTGTGGGTACACTGAAAAGAATTAAACAGATTCACCCATATTATTACCTATTCTAAGTGTGGCGGCTTCTGTTGCTTCTTCCAGCTCAGCGATGAAATCCAAACCCCATTTTCACCACCACTACCACCATCCAGATGCTCAGAGCTCTTGACTCTACATTAAGTTTCTAGGTTGAAAGATTGTTATAGCCAATGTCTGTGTCTCATTACTTTTTTTTTTTTAATGTACTTTTTTTTACTGCTACCAATGGTTCTTTCTCATCCCCTCTATGTGCTGCCTCCCCGGTCCACCAACCACCACTCCCTGTTTATAACCACAGGCAGAACTGAAGTTTCCTGGAGAATCGTAAATAATAGAGGGAAGCCTGGATAGGCCCAGCAGGAGGAAGTAGGTGTCATGTACCTTCTGAGGAGTACCATTCCAAGATTTCATTTTTTGAATAATTTTTTAATAAGTGCTTATGCTTAGCAGTTTTTTTTTTTCCTTTGAGAATTGACTATATACATCATCCTGGATTCAAAAAATGGCATTTTATATTTCACTAACTTTATAAAACAGGAAGAACAACACAACTTTTTCAGTAAAACCATTTCATTGCTCTTAGTTGGACATATTTTTTTCTTTGAACCCCTGCATATTACTTCATTAATACTTGAATAGGTAATTCTGACAATCTCTTATTTTATATAATTTGGATGCTTATTTTATCATTCTGCCTGGAGTGATAAAAAGCCATCTGAGGTCAGGGACTCTAACTCACTCATCTTTGTATTCCTTGTAACACCCAAAGAGTAAAATAACAGGCACTTCATAATTATTTGAAGAGTTGAACAGAAGCACTTGACACTCATAAATGCATAAAGTTACTTTATTTTAAGTATACATTTAATTTTGAAAAATATAAATGCTAAAATATCTCATCTTCTTCATCTCTTAATTCCATAAAAGTCACAATAGAAAGCTTCATAAAACTGTAAAATACTATAATGTTATAGGAATTTTAGGTTTTATATTGGAAAAAAATTATTAGTAATATATTGAAATGTTTTCTGTTCTTTATCATTTGTTCCACCATGTTGATCTACTTCATTTAAAATAAAAAGATGCATCATTTCTCCAAAGTTAATAAAGACTTAAGAGAATAAAAATAATATCTGAAAGTGCGTATTGATTCTGAAAAGTAAGGTGTACAGATATGTACCAGCCATGAAAATGGCTAAAAAAGAGGCAACTACTCACTCTTTTCACATTGTAGGACTGGGACAAAGTTAACTTCTGGCTCTAAAAGTTTCACTGGATGACTTTAGCCCTGAGTTGCAATTATCTGCCTGGGAAACAGAATTCAGGATTTTTGTATGTACCCATAGAGCACAGAGAAATGAGCTAAGAAATAGGTCATACCCAAATTTCTGGTCAAAACACAACTTGACTGGCTAGCATATATCACAAAACTTTTTTTTTTTTTTAATTTCAGGCTGCAATGAAGCTCAATGAAATCATCATGTGAAAACTCCCAAGGCCCTTCAGCCAGTCAAATGCTATAAAATATCATTTGATTGTATTCAGCCACTTGGTGCCACTGGGCTTTATGCTCATGCTGTGAAGAGTAGGTGTGAAATATCATGGAATAAATAAGAAAATCTCAAGTTCCTGCACCAAAATCACTAAGTGGTATGAAAAGATTTGAAGAAAGCTTTGTCCCATCCCTGAACAATGTCAACCTCTGTAATACAACTCAAATGGTTTCGTTTTGTTTTTAAAGGATAGTCAGCAGTCAATACATTTCAAGTACTTTAACACAGTTTAAAAAAAAAAAAAAAGAACCAAAAACTCGGAAGACAATCGTTCTCTATATTATACAGCAATATATAGCCGATAAAAGATTTACTCTGTGTGTGTTGGTGCGTGTGCATAAAACATACACAAACTGACTTACTGATGGCAGATAATCACTTCTTCCCACCCTTCCCCCATTTCTTGAGGTGGGGGCTCATTAGAGAGGGTTTTGTTTTTGTTTTTGCACATCGTTAAGCCTCCGTCCCCCACCCCCTGACTCCACTGCTTGACTGGAAGAAGAGGCAGGATCACTACTGCCTGTGGCACAGAAAATAGTTAGGATTCCAAGTCCTTGTCTCACACAGAAGAAGAGTGATCTTTATCAAGGAAAACAGTGTCTCCAAGAGATTTTCTTTCAAATGCAAAATGAGAGGCCTTTATGCTCCTTTGATAAGGCCAACTCTTGGCCCAGTGATCTCTTCAACAGTAAGTTTGTACAACCACAGGACTTCTGCTTGACATCTTGGGAGTGTACACTTCATCTTGGACTCCTAACAACTCATGTCTCTGTATTCACATCAGGGAATGACACTGTGTGAAAAATTCACCTTTGAACTGTATTCTGTGTGTCCAGTTTACACAAACAAAACCACTGCCAAATCCGGCTGGTCCTCAGACAATGAGTAAATTCAGCTGAAATGCAGATTATCTGGTGGCTCTGTATGGACCTCAGGTTTTGTATGCTTGTTGGGTAACTACTTCTGTTCCTCTGAAACTAATGATTTTTAAAAAGTTTCCCTGGGCTCCAAAATATTGCAAGGGTGTGATATTAACTGTTACTTTTAGCAGACAGAAAGTACTATACTGCATTCACATCATGAATTTCAACCTTTTGCCACAGAATATGGATCATAAGTGGATGTGCAGATAGCTTTGAGATCTGCTCAAAGGCTGAAATATTGAGTTAAGTCGCTTCAGGAGTTCTTTGAAAGAGATGGAGAAAGGCACAGATCCTGAAATACTTGATTCATGATCAGAAAGATAAAGTATTATATCTAGGGCTTTTATAAAAGTGAATAAAGGTGTCTTTAATTTAACATGATCATAGGTTAGACTGAACTTATTATGCATGCTCTTAGACATTTTTTTTTTGATGCTTCCCTTGGTAAATAAAAAGGAAAATCTTCTTATATAGTTTTATATTAGAGTAATGAAAAACCAGGTAGTATAATCATTTTAAGGATAGCTCTAAATACAAACGCGATGCCAAAATCTGGTGCGTAAGGTTTTAACAAATAACACGTAATCTGCTGCTTTCATTTTAATGAAAACAAATTGCAGGTCATTTATGTCTAATTTGTATAAAATTTAACGTTTTAAGATTAGCAGATACTATAAAAGTAACAGCTAATTCAGGGTAATAAGATTTTTATAATCAAAATTTTAAGAGGACAGAATTATAATTTAATTAACACAAGAATGAGTGGGAGTCACTATGTGCATATATTGAAACCAAATAAATGGCTTCATCCTGCTTCTGGTACTCCTCCAGCAACCTGTTTTAGTTAGGATATATCACAAATGTGGTTACATAAATCCAAAATTATGAATTCAGTTATGCAGACTCACAACACATAATGCAACCTATTAAAAAGATTACACTTAAATAACATGCTAAATTTGGTGACTAAAGACCCAATTTTCTTTTTTCTAATTTTCAGTATGGTACTTTGAAATGTATCCGTCCTAAAAAACATGTGTGAGCAATGTTAAAATGTGTGTGTGTGTATATATATACATACACATACATACACACACATACATACACATATACACACACATACATACACATATATATACATACACATATGTACATATACATACCTCAGCAGATCTGTCTGCATTCCCATAAACACTATAAATAGGTCAATGGTCTATTAATATTTCTATGAATTTTGTAGGATCCGTGATGGCATCTGGGCAATAAAATATATTTAGCCTTATTTGCATAATGGTAAATCTCTCAGACCTCTCATGGATTTTTCATATATAATGGGGTTTGGGTTTTATGAAAACTGACACAGGGGTCTGGATAACTGTCCATTGCCTACCTTCGCTCTGTCTTTTTCTAACTCTGCACATATGTGCACCAGCCACACACAGAGTATGTACACAAACACACAAATATTTCAAAATGAAAAAAATGTCCAAAATACTGCATAGGACATCGACATGGTAATACAATCAGCATCTATGTCTGGATATTACTATTATCAAAACATCAGTTATTCCCATTACATAGGAGCTTCTCACTTCTTCCCCAATCTCTTCATAGAACAGTAAATTTCTCTTAAAGAAAGGGAAAAATGGATGCTTAGAAACATGGTGTTTTTAATCTGATCCAGCCCTCTGGCTTACCTTAGAGATTGTGTATCCGTGTGTGTGTGTGTGTGTGTGTGTGTGTGTGTGTGTGTGTGTAAAAA